TCACTGAGCAAATAAAACAAAACATGCAAACTAAGCTTAATAAACTACAGAAAACTGGCTACAAATAATAATGTCACCCTAAATGTTGTTTTAAGCAGGTTGCAGAATTTCTTTGTGGACAGACAGTTCTTGCTTGCAGCTTAAAACTCCAGGTACATTCTTCGCGGGCCAGACATCATTCCCAGCCTGGGCTCAGCCCTGCCCCACCCCAGCTTAGTTCCTTTGTTTCTTCAGGTGTTTTCAGCAGGCTTCCTTCTTGGGAGGGGAGGCAGTGGAGAAGAACCAAGATTAACTTATTCCCCAGCCTTATACAGGATTTACATATGGTGGAAATCCTTTGTTTCCTAGTTTGATCCCCACCCTCTTCCAATGGAAAAATACCAGCATTTCAAGATGGTATCCAGTACCATTTGATGTGATAACATGACCCTGCAGTGTCAAAGCAGCAGCCCAGGAAACGTCTCAGGAAGGAGGGAGATTAGTATCATCAAAGTCCTACTGTCCTTCCTAATGGCCCATCCAGGCTGTTTGCATACTGTCTGGTGGGCATTCCCCAGGTGAAAACACAGTTGTAATTATTACATAGTCAATATTTCTGACTTCAGATACAGAAATGATACATGCATACAAATTGGGTAATCACATTCAGTAAATCATAATCTTTCCAATGATACCTCACATGACCCATCTTGCATAAAACATATCTTAGTTATGCCATATTCATATCATAAGCATATCTCTGTGAAGAATATGGGGCGTAGGGTCACAACAAGTAATTCTGGCATTCTGAATTCTTCCTGGCAGCTATGATACCATCTTGCTGAAAATGTTTCCAAAAGCTGATTCCACGATGTTCACAGCGGGAATTTGTGGTCTTAAATTAAACATGAAGGTCCCAGGTACCTGAGGAACACAAGGAGCCTATTGAAAATGAGTCTTTGCAAATGCACTGAATAGTTTGGACTGATGAAGAGTAAAGATCCACAGCTATGTGTTTTAAACTCATAAATCCTTTCTGCTGAATGCAGTTCTCTGTTTATGCTATCTACAGTATATCTGAATAACACAATCAGTCAGCCTACAAAGTTAGAAGGATAGCAATCTTGCAGCATACTCCTCCCTCCTCTGGAGTCTGTAGAAGCTCTTCCCACAAACCCTGGCTGGGCCTGCATGAGTTGTGACGGAGCCAGGGAACTGCTGCTCTATGTAACCGGCTCCCATCTGAATCCAGAGGAAATACCAGTGGTAACATCAGCAAGATCTGTGAAGTTGATACTGCTCTAAATTCACTTTTACTCCTTATTCTGTGACCCCCTTTTTGAGGAATCACAGCAGGCCTGGAGCCAGCAATGGTAGCATGGCTTCTGGATTTTTATCAGTGATTAAAATGATGATTAAAATTCAAACAACTGTTTTAAGTACAGGGAGAGTACAATTTCCTCAAGTGAAGTAAAAGAATACCTTTTCCTCACAGAATGTACTTCAAATATAGATAAAATCTAGAAAGATAAACACTACCAGTCAGGAATTTTAAAATATAATGTCTTGCTAAACTTGATTAATGAGATAATAAAAAAGCTATAATACAAAAAAATCCAATTAAAATATCTTGTGAAATTTCTGTCAAACAGAAATAAAGAACCAAGGAGACCGGTAAAACGTCGAAAAATTGAAATGATACACATGATAGCTTTAGTATTTGAGACTACTTTATATCAGTTTTATACTCTCACTGATTGACTGTCCCCTAGTTTATTAGGCTTCTCAACTGCTGATGTGTTGTGCCTGGAATTCTTTATTTTTATTGTTTTTTTGATATTGTCTTACAGCATAATCTCTGAATATAAACAAATTAGAAATTATAGCACTACACTGCATGTAGGTACTTTCCCTGTACAGAAGACATACAGGATGAGGCACAGTATAATGTATTCTACACCAATGAAAAGAAAACCGAAGAAGAAAGAAAACTCACCTACCACTCATATTAAAGAGAAATGAACAGATGATAGTCTAGCTATAACTTGTCTTATCATTGATGCAGGAAGAATAAGGTTGAGAAAAATAAGATGGAATGTTCCAACATCTTGCTCATATTAGCTAGCTTTAATCAGTAGCTGGGTTGGGGGATGTTGGATAATAATATAAGGGAAGGAGCTCTTGGGGTCTGGGTAGGAGCAGAAGGGCAAAAGCCACAAGATGGGGAGCAGACTGGAAGGGGAGCAGACCTGGGGCAACCATACTCCCCTTCAGAACCTAGAACTGAACCCACGAGTCCTGACACTCTACATTTCTCTGCTGTCAGCAAACAGTTGTGAAACCCCCTGAAAAAAATGTGTCTCATCTCCTTCTAGTGGTTGTTCCACAGAGGACAACCACCTACTACTACTACCAGTTCTTTCTCTGTCTAGCTCAAGGAGTCTATGCTGTGGGTATAAAAGTTTGAATTTTGTTCATGACCCAAGTTGAGGGTCAATATGTTTCCACGTGGTAGAATTTATGTGGGTTTTTTGTCCATTCATTTATTTTAAATAGGAAATTACATTAAAAACTACATTAAAACAACATGGTTAAGACTGCAATGTCAAGCAATCAAAAATCAGGAAATGCCAGAATTAAGGGTGAGTCTGCATTATGATAGTCTCCAATTATATGATGTCATACTATTTTCCACAGACCCCTACCTCACAGAGTGAATGAGTATTATCCAATGTTTATTTTTATTCTTTTCATTCACTGTGTGGATCAAGATAATATTTAATACACAGTACTGAATATGGAATTATTAATTTCCTCATGGTCTTTCCTATGGTACTCTCCCCATCTGAGTGCATCATATGAATAAATTATCTTCACAACACCCATCAGATCAGGTGGTATTATTATTCTCATTTTATAGCTGAGGCACAAGAGTGTTAAGGCAAAAACGGTTAAAATTGTCTACTAATTTGGGGTGCACAACTTGAGATATCTAGGGCCTAATTTTTTAGAGTACTTCACCTTTTTATAGCACTTCATGTGTTCAAAACACAGTTTCAATCCATTCCACTTTTCAGTTGCAATTGTTAGTGCTCAGGACTTCTACAAACCTGACCCAAGTGTTTGAGCATCCAGAAAATGAGTAACATGCAATTAGTGGCTTGTGGCCAGCAGTGAAATTTGGTTTAAGTGCTTCCTTATACCATCATATAGGAACCCTGTGGCAAAGAGAGAGATAATCCAGTTCTACAGGGCAGCATTCAACTTCCTTAACGGTGAGACCATCCTTTCTTTCCCTGTGGTCCTCTGTCTTATTTATTTCAGTCCTTCTAACAAGTGCAACATGAGGCAGGCGTTCTATAGGCAACAGCCTCCTTCTCAATACAACCCTGATTCATTCCCAAAGCACCATCCAACCTGTGCATTGAGTGACACAAGGGACCTGTGGAAAAGCAGTATGTAATTAAAGACTATATCATAATGCATGCACAAAAGGCCCCTGAATTAAGGTTGCATAAGTAACCTTAATACTGGCATTTTCTAATTTTTGAGGGCTGGACTTTGTAACCTTCCTGTTAAAATCCTTCTTTGGGTGTAAATATGGAGTTATACCTATCTCATAGAACTAGAAGGGACCTTGAAAGGTCATCATTGAGTCCAGTCCCCTGCCTTTACAGCAGGACTAAGTACTGTCCCTGACAGATTTTTGCCTTGATCTCTAAATGGCCCCCTCAAGGATTAAACTCACAACTGTAAGTTTAGCAGGCCAGTGCTTAAACCACTGAGCTACCCCTCACCCCACCACATAATAATATAATACATGTATATAATAATGTAATACATTGTTATGTTGAAAGGTGGTGATGGCTGGCTGCTATCAAGCGAGTCTTTGATCCAAAGAACTCCTGACCTAAAGTCAGTGATTGTGCCAAGTACTCTCTTTCAGGCTCATTGGGAAGAGCAATTAAGTCCCTTCACATACAGCTTCAAACAACAGAGGGATTGCCCAAGGCACATGGCAGGTTAGAGCTAAACCATGTGGGATAAGGGTATTTTTTAAAATGGCAAACACAGGGACAAGAATATTGGCAATGGTTTTCCAACCTGTTTGAGTTAGTAGTGGCAGAAAGCCAGAGAAGCAGATGTGAGTGTGATGCTGAGATGAAAAAGAACTAGGGCTTCGTAGACACAGAGCTCCCTGAGAAGCACACTTGGGGTTTGCTGAGCAAAGAAGATGCCTATTGATGTTTGTTTCTACTGGTGATTTGGGAAATGTGTGTTCACATTTTTTGTAAATAAACAAAATCAAACCAACCTCCCCCGTACCCCCGACTTGCAGCGTCAATTTTTCCTCCTAATGGAAACAGCCCTAACAAGACCCCAAATATTAGCTAACTCCTTGGACCAAATGCAACATTAGCTCTATTTATCAATAAACTACAGAACGAACGTGGTGTTTTCAGCCTGTTTGCACATAAAAGCACGTGAGAAATGGCTGGCGCTAGTGAAGGGGAGGCAGTTCTACATGCTTGTCTGCAAGGCTTTGCTAGCGAAACAAGGTGGGGGAAGGTAACATCTTTTATTCATTGGACCAACTTCTGAGGGTGAGACGAGCTTTCCAATTTACACTGCGCTCTTCTTCAGCGACGCTTTATAGCAGCTTTTGGGCTGCACTTTTCCCTACCCTTCGGTTGGCTTGGTGCCAGCCCTTGCAGAGATGCTTCAGGCTCATGACTCCTGGAGTGCCCAGACGCCAGAGGCTGGGAGCGGCCTAGCCCGCTGCTAGGGCGGCGGTCTGCTCCCCACCCACCCCTCGGGGAGCCCTGTCGCCTGCGGGCTCCCGGATTGCAGCCCAGCCCGGGCGGGAAAGCTACTTCGCTCCGCCTCCCACAGGCAGCTGCAGCGTGGGGAGCCGCCAGAGTGCAACGCGCGCACGCAGCAGGTTCGCCAGTCCCTGGGGCGGGTCTTCTCCCCCCGCCTTTCCGCGGAACGTCTCTTCCTCCCGTCCCCGTCCCCGGCTCCGCTCCCTGCCTCCAGCCGCTTCCAGTCCTGCGCACTGGGCGTGCGGCTGGCGGGGCGGGGCGGACTCCGGCAGCCAATCGCAGGGGCCGCCGGCCGGGCTGCCACAGAGGGATGGAGGCTGAGAGCAGGGTACCGGGGCCCCCGCTCTCCGGCTCCCCGCCTGGCGGCGGGGGAGGAGCCGCTGCTGTTGAGCCCCGGCCGGGCCCCCCCGGCGCAGCGCGGGCCCCGCCGCCCCCCGCCTCCCCGGAGCAGCTGGCCTTTGACGACGACGAGGAAGACCTGGAGGTGTTCAGCAAGGTACGGCCCGGGGCCCCTCTCCCCGCCGGGCAGCCCCGCGCCCTCCTTCCCCCGCTGCACTTTGCCCCGGGCGCTGCCCCGTCTGTGGTGCCGCCAGGGCTTGTCTCCAGAGCGGCGGCGATGTGACTGGCAAGCGGGGCTCCCCCGCCCAGTGCCCTGGAGCTGCCGCTGGCCGGGAGCTGCCCCCGGCTCGTCTCATCGCCCCCTGCACTTCGGGATGGGGCAGCCTGCCCAGTGCAGACACCCCGCAGCGGGGTCGGCCCTCCCCTCCCGTGACCCCCCCATCACCCTGATGCGGGGCGGGGGGGTCAGTGGCCCGGGAACCCCAATCTTGCACTTGTCGGCAGGTTCCTGTGGACGTGGAGTCGGAGCAACAATCCAGGTACAGTGACCTCTGCTACCTGGGCATGGTCCTGCAGGTTGTTCATTGCTCTAGGCAATGGCAATGAAGCTTGGCAGAGAAATGGCACTCTTCCTCTTCAAAGCGTTGCACACACATTAACCTGAGATGTCACCATCTGCTTTGTTTTAAAGAGCAGAAAATAGGGATTGTAACTGAGTAGAAAAAGGAAAGACAAGCAGTTGAAGTGCACGTAGTGTTCTAATTCTTGTAGGCAGCTGTTGTTTTCCACTCATGTTTCAAACAACCATTTAAAAACAAGGAGTTAGGTGCCCGCTCCCCAGGAATTTGCATTTAATGGTTCTCTGGCATGCATAGAGGTGTTTGGTTTTTTCCCAATGGGGATTCACAATCCATTAAGTACTGTAATAGTTTTAAGATGCGTTTTTAAAGAAAAGTTGCTAACTTTTAAGTTTCTATTCAGTTTGTGCCAGTAATAGAAGTTGGACAGCTTTAGGATCAAAGTATTCCCAGATGTTACACTTTTTGTAATAGGGGAACTATTATGGTAATTTTGGATATTGGACATCTGGGTTCTGACTCTCTCAGCAATTTTTCCTCAGTAAACCATTATTGGCATTTGTCATTATTAAGCACCTAGGTAAAATTGTTTGGTAAATTTGTGGGTGCAAGCACAATTCTATTATTGTACAGGCAACTGACCTAGAACCCCGATCTTGCAGTGTAATGTGCACGGGTCAGTGCGAGTTTCCCTACACAGTCCTAAAGTGGGGGCAGAGGCCTGTCTGTATAGATCTTATTGCATTATCAAACCCCTAGTTATTATCTTTAATTAAGTACAGCCCTTAACATTTACAGTCATGTGTACCAATAAAATACATAACAAATATTATATCTAAATATTTAATCTACAGGCATGGTTTATATACAGTATATGTTGAAATATGCTCACCAGTACACAAGTTTCAAACTTGAGTTTATTCAAAACAGTTTGAGTGTGTGTACCATTGTTGTGCATGTAAATCAAATTGAGAATAGGTATCATTTAAATTACGTGTACTTTGATAGAGGAGGGGACAAAATGATTAGTGTCTGAAACTTGGTATAGACCCAGATTGTGCAAACATTCACACATATGATTAACTACATTCATGGAAGTAGTCTCTGAACTATCATGAATCTGGTGATTGTTTTCTTAACACCACAGCTCCTGAAGTCCAGTATCTCACTGTTTATTTAAAACAAGTTTCTAGCCCTCATGGTTGCAGGAAAAAAATGTGGAAACATGACTTGACAAAGTCCTGGCTGGGATGATTTAATTGGGATTGGTCCTGCTTTGAGCAGAGGTTTGGACTAGATCAGTGGTTTTCAAACAGCAGGTTTTCAAATAACAGTACTGGGTCGCGGCGGCTTTGGTCAGAGCTGCCGACTGGACGCTTAAAAGTCCCATCGACGATGCTAGCTGTTCTGACACCGCGCTATGCCCTGGAAGTGGCCAGAAGCCAGACCTGCTGCTGGCTGTTGCACCCCAGAAGCCTCGGAGCTGGACCTGCTGCTGGCCGCTTTTGAGGCGCAGCATGGTCCGTGGTGCCAGGACAGGCATGAAGCCTGCCTTAGCATCCCCGTTGCACCACTGACCGGGAGCCGCCCAAGGTAAGCCCGTGCCCCAACCCTGCACCCAAACCCCTTGTCCCAGCCCAGAGCCCCCTCCCTCACCCTAAACGCCTCATCCCCAGCTCTGTTGGATCATGGGCATCAACAATTTTCTTCAACTGGGTCGCCAGAAAAAAAGTTTGAAAACCACTGGATTGATGTGGATAGATGACCTCTTGAGGTCTCTTCCAACCTAATCTTCTATGATTCTGTGGTGGACGCTTAGAAGCCAGAAAATAAAATGAACTCAGTTAAAAACAAACAAAAACTTTTAACCCATTCTGATAATTTTTTGAGGTCTGACTCATAATATTTGAACTCTTGATGTTGGCAAGTACACATTTAAGTGTTTGTAGACTTAGGGCCTAATTCCTTGGCTTTTGGGCCCTGATTTTGAATTTGGATTCATATGAGTTACACTCATAGACTAAGACCAGAGGGGACTTTCATGATCATCTAGTCTCACCCACTCCTATAATAGACCCATAGCCTCTGGATGAGTTATTGAAGTCCTCAAATCATAATTTAAAAACTTCAAGTTACAGAGAATCCACCATTTACAGTAGTTTAAATTTGCAAGTGACCCATGCCCCACGCTGAAGAGGAAGGGAAGCGCCACCCCCTCCCCCCCGTCTCTGCTAATATTTGAGGGGAAATTCCTTCCTGATGCCAAATATGGCGATCAGTTAGTTGACCTTTGTATCCGCTTGGTGCTCACTCACATGGCTCCAGTTGTAAGACTAGGTAGGGCCTTGCAAAATTCTTTGATGCCTTACATTGGGTACATAACTTTTTTTCTTTTTAAAACAGATGACTAAAATAAGAAGCGATGATTCTTTTTTTTTTAAATTAAAAATTGGATTGTTTTGATTTAAATTAGATTTTGGATTAAATTATAATTTTCTTTTTTTAAATAAACCTGTTTAAAATAAAATCTGAATTTAATACAAAATATGTTAAGGCCTGCATAAAAAGTATATATGCTGAATCCATGACCCTCTGTCAAAAACTTAGATGTTTATCCCTGATTCTAACTTTTGAGGTCAAGCTTTATAAATATGGCACAATAAGTCAGTCTGAGTAATTTAGGAGATTGTGTCATTTTCAAGATTTAGGCAAGACCAGGAACTTAAGCTCTTGTCACTTTTACTTAGACATTTTTGAAAACTTTCCCAGACTGACCTGAAATAATCAGTTTACTTCACTGACTACAGTTAATCCCTCTGTTTAATAAATCATTTAATTGTAAGTGAAACATTTTTTGATACATAAACTTCTCTTAATAAAATGTTTAAGGTTGTTTTGTTTAATACAAATAAATTTTATATATTGTTTTGTGTGTTTCCTTAAATTCCAGTTACCATCTTTATGCAGCTTGATCCAAATATGAGCAAAAAGTAAATTATCTAGTAAATAAGCAATATATCATTCACTGTTTCCTAACATACTAAAATGTACAATTAATAAGAATCTGAAGATATTAGGCCATATAATTCCTTAAATAAATGTATACAATTATGGTGTACCCTCCCAGGTAGCAAAAAGATTTACCAAATCTAGTTTAAAGGCTCTCTCTTGTTGTAAATCAACATATTAGAATGGTTATATCAATCAATGAGAATGCACCTTTCTTTAGAAAATAACTGAAATACAAAAGGAAAAGTTGATTTAAAATCAGTGATTTTAAATTGAGGCTTTCCACTTGGTGATTTAAATCACCTCAATCCATTCTGAATATCACAATAAAGAATGGATTAATTCATTTTTGCCTTGACTGATAAATTTTATTGTAGTTTTTCAAAGCTATCCAGTGCTTGTTCTAAAGTGTAGAATAATACATAAATCTAGAGGAAATAATCAGTGTGCACGCAGACATGTGTTGGGAAGTACAAATAGGCTACCCCTCCATCTCATTAAGTGATTTTTCTTTAACCTGGTATTCTTTAATTCTTCCAAGATTGTATCTGCTATATGAAGATCTGTAAGTTGATGCATTAAATATGACTCAGTTACGGTAATAATTTGTTTTATATCTGATTTGATAAAAGCAAGATCTGTCATTATTACCTTCTCTTTCCGAGCAAACCCTCAAACTTGGTAAAGAATAGAGCATGCACTGAGCCAGTATTGTTAAGGCAAACAGGCTCCAAAAATAGCATATGGGGTGATAACCACCTACCCTTTGAGGCTTCTTAAGTAAACCCAATAGATTGCTAACTCTCTGAAATGAAACAATAGAATATCTAATAGTACAGTGGTAGGAGCAGCAAATATTTCATCCTGAAGAAGAGCTCGGTGTGGCTCGAAAGCTTGTCTCTTTCAGAAGTTGGTCCAATAAAAGAGATTACCTAACCCACCTTGTCTCTCTAATTAAGTGCAAACTCATTTGGCATTGATGTCGCATGTACTTCTATAGCACGTGGACTGTAATTCAACATTTATTTACTTGAGCACACATTTCTAGTGTTTCTGTAAACACAGTTAGGCACGGGGCACAGAGGACTGGGAAGAAATTGATATATTAGAAGGGTAACTGTAGAGACTTCACATTTACTATGAAACAGTTATGTGTTTGATAGTACTGAAGGAAAAATCTTGATATTAATAAAGTAAGGCCAGAAGGGACCATTAAATCATCTAATCCCATCTCCTGTATGCCACACAATACTGTGTACCTCTGTAGTGAGCCCAATAGTTGTTATACTACAGCATATCTTCCAGAAAGATGTCCAATCCTGATTTGAGGACATCAAGAAATGGAGAATCCATTTGAACAATTTAGTGCAAAAGAATGTCAAAACATAACTTAAAGAGTTATTTGACTTTTATTTGTGTGATCTTGGCTTTTGGCTTTACTGGTCTAAGCTAGGAAATTTATTCAGGAAGTAATACTCATTTGCCTCTGAGTATGTCTACCCAGGGATAAAAAAAACCATGGCTGGCCCAGGTCAGCTGACTCAGGCTGGTGGCGTTTGGGCTCTGGAGC